TTAAAAAAAAAAACAATTGTGATTTTTTCGAAGGACAATGAAAAAATTAGTATTTTGGGTATTTTTAATGTTTTAAGGCTAAAATTGTTCAAATATTTGATTTAGTTTTTATTGTACTTGTGTCTGGAACTCCATTGATTGAAATAAATGTATGAATAACACCGGTCAACAAAAATTTTTTTCTTTCTTTGGGTTTCTGTTCTCATGCTTAGATTCTCATTCCAAACATTAAAAAAAACACTTGAATTTTAGTTTTTAGGTCTTAAAGTTTGCTTTTGTCTGATTTACGTCGATAAGTATAAGAAATTCGAAAAATATTCCCGTTTAGACATTATTTTCTTGTTATTTTGCATTTATACCTATGTTATTGTTCATCACAAATCTTAAATAAAAAAGAGTCTGATATCCAGCAAAAACTTTTCTAATCGTAATTTAAAGTTAAATTCTAAAAAAAAAAAATATAAAAACTAGTGATTTTTCCAGAAAAATTGCTGTAGTTTTTACAAAAGCAAACTTTGATCAAAAAAATATTTTTTCCCTTATTTTTAGCGTAGGAGAAACCATGATAAAAATATAGTAAGGTAGAACCGCTGAGAGTCACTTTTAAAATTCTTGACGTTTCCAAACAATTTAATTTTTAAATTTACTCACAAACTCACACACACATTTTCATTTTCAATCTCAAGCAACAACAATTTCGAACAATTTCATTTTTTTATTTTCACTTTTACATGATTTTAAAATGTTGGCAAACTTAAAAAAAAAAAAATCATGGCCGACAAATTGAGAGAACGGTTCTACCTTGCTATATTTTTATCATGGGAGAAACTAAAATTTAACATGTAGAAGTCAGACCCAACAATCATGTTGACTGGTGTGAGGCTTTAGCATTTTTTTTCTGCCGACAGAACAACAACAAAAATCACATCTACTAACTAACTATTAAATTGAAATCGCACCTGCTTCTTTTTCAAAATCCCCTTAGTTCTGATAGGCCAATGCCTATTGGAAATGTTTATATTATAGCAATATTATTCTTGCAGTTTTATTTATTTGCGCCACTTACATTACAAGCCTTCTTTAAATTGTTCAAATTTCTTCTCTTGAAAATACTCGTAAAAAACATTTGAAACGTTTGAGAGATAGTTCTCAGTGCTTTTTTAAGTATGTGAATGGTGAAAGTTAATAATTTCTGACATAGTGGTAAACACGAGCACACACAAGCTACTTATTTAATTGAATAATTACTTACCTGTATGAAAATAAACATTTTTGCTTAATTACTCGTAAATACATATATATGTACATGCGCGCATATTTACAAATATTTCAAATAAGTATTGGTGTATGTGTGATGTTGCAGCATCACATTACTGTATTACAAGCTTTCACATGTCCTGCTAATATCCCAGTTGGCGAGTGTCAAATGGAACATTAGTTACTAATTAATGTGACACATCGGTGAAGAGCGAGCATAGCATGTCCGTCTGACAGAAGCAACAACAGCACCCTGGGCGGTCGATATACATACATATATATGCATATACAGGTTATTTTGTGACATAAATAATTTAGCATTGGACAAGCGCCTAGCTGCAACAGCAAATCAAATGCGGATTAAGAGCAACAAAATGTTAATAAATACATAGCCTATATTTTTTTTAATAATTTAACATTTAACTAAATTTATCTGTTCAAGACTTTTCATTACAACAATTAAATTTCATCAGCGCTTTTGCAAGTTCATTATAAAATTAGCGGAAGCATGGAAACTGCTGCATAAAGTGCATATTTAAAAAGACCCATACGCCATTGCATTGCCTTCTCACTTATGCATACATATATGTATTCATATGGAAGTTTGCTTGCATATGTGTACAACTGTATGCATGTGTTCATTTTACTTTGTTTACTTGTATTTGACAGTGAATTTGCACATTTGTTTACAATTTTAATAAAGTTGTACAACTAACTGTTCGTTACTGCAAATTATGCATTGTGTGAGTGTGTGTGAGTGCGTATTGCGAGCTTTGCGCCGCCTTTTGCAATGAGGGAATCACATAGCACACAGGCGCACACAATAACCTCCAATTTACATAATTACCGCCAATAGAGGCAAGAATCAGCAGTTGAGAATTTACCACATTGCGCTCGTGACAGTGACAGTGGCAATGACAGACACCACTTGACAGTTGTCAATTGCTTTGTTGCACATTTAAGCACAAATGACAGAAGAGACTCAAATTCTTGCTACTGCATACATATATAAATAAATATGTATTTGCATACTTATTTTGTGTGTTTGTACATTTAATTTTGTAGCGACGATATGTGAGCGTGCGATGGCTGCGTTGCGCGATTTTCATAAATTTCGTTATTAAATAACCTTGTCAGCGCTTGAGTGGTTGACTGTCATTGTTGTTGTTGTTGTTGCTGTTGCTGTGCTCATATTACTCTGCGTGTTGGTTACTTTCTGTGGAATTTGTATGAGTAAATAATTTTTGCATACAAGTGTTGTCGCAATAAATGTCAACAGAAGGGTTTGTGCACATAAATATTTACATACATATGCACACATTAGGGTGTTCCAAAACTTAAAGAGAAAGTAAAAGAATACCTTATTTAGGCAAAGTATTCAAACTTTTTTTCTGCTATACAAAATTTTACAAATGCTACAAAACATTTTAAAGTTCGAAAATTTTTATTTTTATTTTTTCAGAAAATTTTATAGTTTGAATCAATTTTTTTTTTGACTTCTTCGTCTCATTTTTAATTGCATTTTTGAGGCATTATTATTATTACTATTATTTTCGAGTGGGAAGGGGGCGTGAGTATAACAGAAAAGACCCATCGCTTTTGTTGTCAAGCTTTGGCTTTCATATGTTCCTTAAAAATGAAAAGCTAAATAGTCGGTATTTTTTACTCAAAATTAAAAGCTCAAAAGTTGTAAAGCCATATGGAAGTCATGTTGTACAATGAAGTAGGATTCTAACTTTATTCTCAAAGCAAAATCTCTTAGAGAAAGGCAGGAATTCCAAAAAAAATTTAGCAGAATTATTTAAATTTTAGTAAAAACTAACAGTATTAATAAATACCGCTCAACACTGAGCCAGTCCTTCAGTTTGGGGAGCAGGAAACAGCTCTAAGGGGTTAAATCTGAATTATATGCTGGGTGAGGGAGCGTAATAGCACCGCATGTATCCCACAAAAACTGTGCGCATAATGTAGTTGGCCAACATACCCATTTTAGTCTCCTTTGGAGTACGTTCAGCTGGAGTAGTCTATGCTGAAAATTTTCGAAATTTTTTTTTTATATTTTTAATAAACTTCTATGCATGTTTGGCATTTGGCATGAAAAGAAAACTGCACTTAACAAAGAAGACATACATCTAGGGTAACCGCCATTTCAGATGCCAGACCACGAGATAGAAGAATATAGGTAATTGTTATTTTTTTACTTTTCCTGGATTTTATTAAAATTTCTTAACAAAACTCAACAAATAATTAATTAACCTCGGAAGGTCATGTTAATTTTTGCATGTCAAGGAGATAAGTACTAACATTTTTTATGCCTCATTTTAAATCGTATTATACGCGAAATTTGAGTTGCAAACAAGTATTGTGTAATATTGATTGCGATAAAGCTTATGATACTTTCAAAGAAATCTATTTCTTTTATAGAGGAAATGCATAAGAAAGAAAAAAGATGTTTACTTAAAAAGCATTTTTACTTAAAGAAACAGTATATATATTTGAAGTGTACTATATTTTTTCAGATTTTTTGAAAAAGTACTATAAATTTCTTATAAAATGTTGGCAAAGCTACTTCCAACTCACCCTTGCTCTGTGGAAAATTGTGATATGAATTAGGCTCTTCTGACTCTGCTCCTTTTTTGTTAGCTTGATGAATTCTCAACAGCACACAAATTACTTTATAAGTATTTTTGTTAAAGTAAAAAGAGTGTATGTTAGAATAATTAACGACTTTTAACACATTTGCATAACAAATACTTGCTTACAATATTCAACACGTTTGTATGTACGTGTATATGGAAATGAATTTAAATAAGCACGAAATGTTTATTTTGCAACACGAATGAGTATTTATTTAGAAGTATGTATATATACACAAATGCACATCCTTTCAATTTATGTAGTCTTTGCTTTATTCAGTATTTGGGCTCATCTTAAAAAGTACTATAGAATTAGATAGTCCAATGTGTTTAGTAGTACGAGAAAAATAAACATCGAAAATAGAATATCTACATACATATTTCTCACCAATTTGGTAATTTGCACTCTGATATACTGCATATGTTCATATCTACATTTCGTTTATTTATTTATTCACTTATTTCCAATTTAAATGAGAATTCAGTTATAATTATAACTCATCCACGTACATACTTAAATATTTTTATATCCATTTGTAGAGTCTATTTTCCGTACTTTGCATTTAAGTTAATTAGTATTTATACAAATGAATTTTTTGTATAATTGATAGGTATAAATATGTTGCTAACCGAAATTGAAAGATTTTCAGTTTCTTATTAAACGAGGCATCTTGATAATTAGAAGCTGATACAAAAAAAAAAGGTTTCAAATTTAATAAGAATTTTGCGAAAGATGCCTTTTAGACTTAAATAATTATATAATATCATTAAGCGTATTAAAAAGCATAATATTAACCGTTGGAAAATCATTAATACTATGGACTTTTCTGCAGATAACAATAGTTACGAACATCTTCTGGCAGGCAACGCCAATAATTAGTCTAAAATCCAATACCATACATTTATAAACAAAACGAGGCGGAAATATCTTAGGATAAAAGAGCAGATGCAAGAAATCCAGATTCGTGTTGCCTAAGTAAATTATTTTAGAAACCGTTTGATGAGTGCTGAAATGAGATACATACAACTAAGTAGGTGAAAAAAGTATGGAAAAATTGCCAGACCTGTGTCAATTTAGGCTAAATAAATTATTTTACTTAATAAAGCAATTAACTTCAGCTCTAAATTATTGTATTTCTTTGCACACTACATATGTTATAGTTAACTTAGATTAGATTGGCTAGCCAACGCTTCTGGGTTCGCGTTACCAGAAAAACCACGATGAAATCACATATGTAGATAATCCCTGGAATCACGAGCAATGTTGAAGAACATCGCAGTCTTTTAGATAAACTGAAACACATTGTTGTACGCTGTTTTCACAACTGCCTTCGGATTGATTAGAATAAGTCGTAGTCTCCTAAAGACTGTCAACCTTCAGAGGATGTGCCTCAAAGTCTCCTCATTCGCTTTGCATCTCCTCGAAATTTATTTATCGATCAGCGAAAACTTAAATGCGCGTAAGCCAGTAGAGAGTGTAAAATAACTAGTCCCTTCAACATTAAGATTGTTTGTAGATCTTAAAAATAAGGATTAGACAAATTCTCAGTCGAGAGTTCTTTATTCTACTATAAGCAAAGCCTTACAAGTTTCTTAAGAATATTCATAATATTATTTGCGAAGTTCCCTCGCCTTTGTACTAGCAGATACGTGTTTTATAAGGCCTATTTTTTACTTAACGTAAACTTGGTCTAGACCGGTAATGACCAGAAAGAACTTATACATACTCTGTGAAAGTCCATATAAAAAAGCTTTAAAAGGTTCTATCGCTGCATATATTTTGACTGTTTTGATTGATCTAGGTAGACTAGAGAGACAACTTGGATTCGCGTCTAGCTAGTGAGTTCGACGCGTGGGGCTTTGCGTTTAATACAGGCAATATAATCGTTTCAAATTGAGATTAACAAAACTCTTATTCGCACAGTGGTATTTATTTTAAACAAGTTAAACTTTTCTTTTAATTTAAACTAGTGGTGTAATTGTTGTGTCAGGCAAAGGGGATACATTCGTAAAAGATATTTTGCTATTTATGCTGGCTGTTGTTAAAATGAATTAAAAGTGATTTCCATCATCCAGCGTTCCACTGCAAAAAGTTTAATCAAAGTTTTCTCCAAAATATGCTACCTTCCAGTATGTGTATAAAAGTTTTAGTTAGTGGCAAAGAATTTTTGCAAATGCCACTTATTTATTTAAGGTGAAATTGCAAAAGTTAATGGAAATCAAATTGGTACCAAGAAAGTTTAATTCAGCATGTTTGTAGCAATGAGCTGAAAATTTTGCCAATAAGTAATGGTAAAACGGCATACATATAGGCGTATAGAGGTCAACTTCAGCAAGCACCGAACAGAAAAAGAAAAAAATTCAAAATGATGGTGAAATGCTACAAGTAAAAAAAAATAAAGAATTTATTACATGCAATTTTTACTAAGAAAAGAGAAAAGGAAGTTGAAAGCTGTGAAAAAAGTAATTGGCAGCGATAGGTGCTAGTGTGTAAGTTCCATATTAAAATATTGTGAACAAATGTAAGTATGCACACTTTTTTAGTTAGTCATATATGTATATTCTACAATATAAGTACTAAGTATTGAAAAGCAATTCCATTAAAAAGTAAAAAATATCCTGCATATTAACCAGGCGAAAGTCTGCGCTGCTCATGCAAGCTAGTTAAAAGCTCCTTGGCAGCGCAAAAGTTTGCTATCATTTTTCATAATTAACTTAAATTGAAAATGACAAAAATTTCGAACCAAGTACTTTATGTATGTATGGGGAATAAAAAGGACAGAAGAGAAAAAAGTTCAAATGCAACGCAAAGGCAGCCAACAAAAAAAACATGGGTTGAAGGGGCTTTAGAGCGTTTGCAGCAAGCGCGCAGGCTCTGAATGCTTGCAAGCTGTGCAAAGACCTTGGGCGATATTTTTTTTCGTTTGTCTTCTTACGGCTGCAGTCTTGCATTGACGTTTTGCTGTGAAAAATTTTTTGCGCGCCAAGAGTATTTAATGCACGAATTTAATGAGAACCACAAGTTTTTTTGCTTCTTTTCTAATTACTGGCAAAGCTTGCGGGAAATATGATCATATTCTTCCCCCATTTTTAATGTAGCAACTTTCACGCCAGTGCATTTTTTTTTTGTCTTTGCTTTCAACAGAAATTTATGCACTTTAATTCTTGCACGTACAGACATACCGTGGCGGGCATAAAAATAGGGAAGCGACATTTTAACAAGTTTTGGCAATTTTTCTTTTGTTTATTTAATGCTTCGTAGTTTTTTATGAAAGTGCAGCTCACTGTGTAACAAAAACCATGTAAGTCCGAACTTTTTACAAAAATTAAGAAATTGGAGAAAGTTTCATAAAGCTTTAAAATTTTGTAGCCCATCGAATTGTTTGAAGTGCAATTTTTAAGTGGGTAGGACTTGCCGTTGATTTGTGTTTTTTTTTGCTGACAGTGATTCGCATTTTCTTCCATACAAAGCATGTTCGAAAAGTGTTTCATATGGAGGAAAATGTAGAATACCATCAGCAAAAAAAAAATCCAAAAATTAACGGTAAGTCCTACCCACTTTAAACTTGCACTTTGCACGTTGAATGGGCTACAAAACTACATACCTAATTTTTTTTAAGTTCTGAATAAAAAGCATACAATTTTCACAAACATTTGTTGAGGTTCGTCGAATTTTTATAAATCTCATACAAAGTTCGAAATTTTGACTTACATGGTTTTCGTTAGATAGTGAGGTTCTATAAGAAAATATGAAACATTAAATAAACAAAAGAAAAATTGCAGAAACTTCCTAAAATGCCGCTTCCCTATTTGTTTGCCCGCCACCGTATATATGTATGCAAGGAGTTCGAGCAGTGAGGAGGGTCGAGAATTTATGCGGCTATAAAATTTTTTATGATTTTTTAATGAGCTCTTATCTTTTAGTTGCTGTTAGCTGATGGGTCGGTATACGAGGAGAAATGGCAGAGCGCAAATTGTGTGCATTTTTGATCAATATAAAAATTTGCATAATTTTTAATAATTTAATCGTTTAATTTAAATTTTTTCAAGGTCATTTAACTATTTGGAAGGGAAATAAGCCAAACTTCTTTTTAGCTGTTTTGCACGAATAACCGTTTCCACTGGTTAAAGGCAAAGAGTAATCTGAAACGTAAAACAAATATTGTCTCATAAAATTAGGTTTAAAAATAAAGATTTTCAATTAAAACTGTTATTTTGTGTTTAAAAGGTACTTAAATACCGACATATCCGCTACAAACCGATTTAACCGTTTGCTCTCTCAAAACCTTACATTTTTTTAGTGCTTCAAAACCCTTTTAAAAAGTTTGCACATTTCTTTTCACAATAAGCGACCCATTTCTCCAAGCACAGTGGAGAACATTATTACATTTATATTATGATATTTTCTTGATACAAAACGATTCGATATGTAATACAGTTTTTAAGAGAAGATACGTGTACTTTTAAAATTCCTGAATAATTTTTTCTGCACATATAGGGTTTTTACTGAAAATAATTTTCTTAATCATAAATTAATTGAGCTTGAGGAAATTAAAAAAAAAAAATGTTTGCAATTAAAGAAATCATAACCGTCTAACCGATTATACCAAATATACAATTGTAAGTACCAGTGGTTGAGCAAATTGAGGTCATGACTAGGCATGGGTCGAAAACAATTTTTTTTTTACCGATTTCCAGAAATTTAAAACTAAGGTTTTAAATTCATTAGGAAATAATTTTATAAAACGTTGGCTACCTGTTTAAAACCTATTCGACCAATTCAATGAAACAGAACACCATTTAAGAATTACTAGGAGAATCAAACCGTATCAACTCCAAATATAAAAATTCAGAACCGATTAAAACCGTTTCGAAATATTTTACAAAAATAGCTTAACTTTGAAGAAATTTGCTTAATCGCGGCTGCAAATTTTCCATGTATGTAAACTTAACCGGCTCGACCGTTTCAAAATATATTCTGCCTTATCATGTGTTTCGCCCGAAAAAATTTTCTACCGAAAATATTTATTCCGCCCATAGTAAATACATGAAAAGCAAACGTGAAAAGTGAAATAAGGCTGAATTTCATTTTCCAACGAACCGGTTCAATTTTCGATTTCATCTATTTACTATGGGCGGATGAACAATTTTCAGGTTAATTTTTTTTCCGGCGAAACTCAACATAAGGCAGCTAGTGAAAAAACCGTCGGATAGTTTTTTCGAAGATACCTCTCTCTTTGCGTCATATGATTTCTTCATGCCTTAAAAATATCGACTCTTATTCTTTTAACCAGTTTTTAATAATTTTTTAAGCAAAAATAAAAATCAGGAACGTGAAGGATGCTTTTGACCCTCTAGCAGACAACTGAGTTCGGCACCTCCCTTAATCTGGAACTACTAAATTCACTTTAGGTTGGGCAATAGTCAAGTTCTTAGCTACTCAAGGATACCCACAGGGTGAAACGGTATCCTCTATATTAGAGTCAATCATGGGAGCATCGAATTTCTGCCCCCTTAGTAAAAAAGCGATTCGATGTTCAGGGCTACCTGGATGTTATTATCATCCTAATCAGTGGTATGTTCGAAGACACCAACTTTAACTTCCTACATAAAGCGCGCTTGATAGAGTCGCCAATCGGTTCGATTGATGTAAACTAACAAAGTTATGTTCATTAGGAAAAGGTAAAGGGACAAATTGCTTGAACCTTTTCACCAAGGTCTATAAGGCGATAAGATATTTACATTCTTATGGGAAAGTCAAATAACTGAGAATTATCTAAAAAATATTTCGGAAAAGTTTTGAGATATTTTTTTTGCATAATAACTTTGCTGGCACTCTGCTTGGTATTCAGGGCAAAGTTACGTGATTCATGCCCAGGAAATTTTAGTAAAATTTTCAAAGTACTTACCAGTTTACATATTTAATAATAACGCACATAGGTACATACATACATTTGCATATGAAAAGTATATAAAACGCACCTCATTTTCATCGCGCAATATGCCCACCACCTGCAGGAACATACGCTCCGCATCATTCTTCGGATCATAATTGGAGTATGTATCGTCGACGAGTGTTATATTGCCGATCGTGTGGAGTGTCTCCTCCTCGGCAAACGAAGCATCCAAATCGTCCACAGTGACGGCAAAGTTGCGCGCCTCCTCCTCCTCCTCCTCCTTTACGTCAACATCCCGGTCCACACCGTTTTCCATCAACACACCATTCGTCGATTGATCAGCAACACTTTGCTCAACTAATTGCCGCTCAGCAACATGTCGCTCAGCTGCGCTTCTTTCAACATTCGCGCACTCGCGCCGCCCTGCAGCTGCTACCACATCCGCGGCAGCCGCATCAATGCTGCTATCATCGTCAACATCGCCGCCATCACCACCACTGCTCAACTGCGAAAAGCTCAGCGAGAGTTGACTGCTCGCCGCCGCTGAGGTGCGACTGCAATCCTGCAACTCCATTTCGAGTTCTGTGCCACCAGTGCCGCTATCGCCGCTCTGCGAACTAGTCGAATGTAAATGTTGCGCGCGTTTTGCAACATGCTGCTGCAACAATGTTTGTGCTGCGGTGAGTTGCTCCGCTCGCTGCTGATCACGCTCGCCTGGTTGATGTTCGTGCTGCTCGTGCTGGTGCTGTTGTTGCAGCAGCTGATGTTCGCGTTGCATGGCCAGCATTGCCGCGACTGTAACGTCACGCGAATCGCAACGACTGCTGCCGCCACCGCTGCTGCTGCTGCTACGACTGCGCCGCTTTAGCGACTTGAAGGGGGAGAGGAAATGACGTCGGCGTGGTGAGGTGTTCAGATTCGGTGTGAGCGCGCTTTCTTGTTCCAACGCGAGCATGGCTGCGTGTGGCGGCTTGGCGTAGCGTTCCAGCGACCTTGATTTTACTCCAGCTACCGCGTTTTGTACATGTTGTTCATTGTTGCTGCAATGGTATTGGCGTTCGTCCCCACCGCTGCTCTGTAGCTGCTGTGCGGCTTTTGTTTTGTGTTGTTTACGTCGGCGATTGCTATTCGTTGCAGGCGTTGGCGCGCTTTTAGCCATTTTCAGCCGCTGCACATCCACCACATGCATGGCGCTGATGTGTTGGTAGTGCTGCGGCTGACGGTGGTGTTGGTGTTGCTGTTGTGGATGGTGCGCCTGTGAATGTGGCTCCAATGACTCTGCTGGATTCGCAATAATGATGTCATGCGCCAGCTGCGCTCCTGCCACAGCGGTGTTGTCTGCCGTTGCTGGCGCTTTTAGAAGGCGCATTGTTGCCTGGTGCGCGCTTAAGTGTGTGTGTGTGTGTACGTTTATTCTTGCCTTTGGCCTCAAATGCTGCTTTACTTTAGTTGAATACTTCACAGTTTGCTATTTTTCACTTAAAACTTTTTATTTTACTTATGCTTTTATAATTTTTAATGAGCTCACAGGAGCCGCTGGCTGCGCCCGCTCTCTAATTATACTCTGCTGTGCTGCGCTGGGTTGTGCCGTGTGCGCGCGCTTTGGTGTTGGCGATTATTTTCGCTTTTATTTTATTTTTTCTTTACACTGCTGTAGTTGAAGTCTTTTGTAAACGTTTCTCAGTTTACTTTTTCTTTTAAATATTTTCTTTGCACTTATTTCACTTTAAACTTCCTTTTTAGTTCTCTTTTCACGCGCTGTATATTTTTGCCCTATAATTTGTGGCATAATTTAATTACATGTTTCTAGGCGTTTTGTCATGCTACCGGTTTTAATTTAAATGCTTTTGCTTGATATCTTTTGAGCAAAAGGAACCACGTGTGTGTGTGTGTGAGCTTCAGGCATGTGTAAAAGTTTTCAAGTTCATTGCTTTAAAATTATTGCTAAGAGATTTTGTATCTTAAAGTTAGCAAAATAAGTTAATAAATATTTCCAACATTAGATTTTTATAAGATTTTTCTGGTGTATCTGTGTGCTTAACTTAATATTTTTTTTCGAACTCAAAGTTTTTGATAACAATTTTTCTATTCATATCTATTTAAAAATTAATAAATACCCAACAACTCTATCGAGCTTCAGGCTGCTTTTTCAATAACATTTTTTATAGAAAAGTAACAAAATTATTGTATGTTTATTAGCATGGTCCTAAAATTCGTTTGAAAAAAGTTAAGTCCAAATTTGTATGCTCTCAACCCCAGGAATGTTTTATTTCGAAATGAAAAAAATATTTAGAGATCGATCAAAGCGCTCAAAGTTCTCCATTCTTCTTGAATTCTTGAAAATCCATATTTTTCGATCTCTTCAGGAGACTTCCAATAATGGTAACATATTGTTTACAATTTTTCAATACTAACTATTTGTTATAGGCTGCCCATTGCATTTTTTCGGCGGCATATAAAAAAAAGTTACTATTAAGAAATAGAAGTCTCACGAAGAGAGTTTTCCCGATTTGAAAATATTGATTTTCAAGAATTCTACACCATTTCTACGAAAGTTATTCCCCATATAAAATACATGGGAAGCTTTGAATGCTTTGAGCGACCTCTAAATATTTTTTGATTTCAAAATAAAAAAAAAACATGGTATATTTTTCGTGCTATAGCGCAGTCTTGGGGTCGAGAGCATTAAAAATTCAACTTAAATTTTTTTTCTTTACCACCCTTATATACATAGAGTCAAACTTGTCCATAACGAACTGGTGAATAATGAAATCTTCTCTAATGCAAACCAACCTTAAGACAATTTCCGCCAACTTTTAATGCATTTTATTCTCCTTTTTTATTAATAATTTCATTACGCAAATTTTTCTGTGTAACGAACCATTTTTGCAGCCTGAACTTGAAAGTCGAAGCGTCCATATTACAAATTTTTCTGAACCATTTTGCTCTGTGCTAATTTTTTTTTTAACAAGAAAAGTTTACTGTATTGAAGGGAACCCCAAAATTTTAAACTGCCACCGAAAATGTGTCATCCCCTTCACTTTTGGAAGCGTCAATTAATTTACTTTTAACGTCGCGATAATCAGTTAAGAAATGGGTCCACGTATAAGCATTTCCTTGGCGAAAAAGCTATTCGCTTACAATATTTCAGACGATTGTCTAAATAATATCAGAAATGTACGGCGAGGATTATCAATTTTGAAATGCCAATATAGAAAAATTAAAACAAAATAATATGTATGTAAGTATATATGTAAATATATTTCTTATTTCGATTACATACATACATACATATGTATATGTATTTCGATAGACGCTCCCTTCGGCGCTTGCGGACTCAGAACACACACATAATTTTAGTGGAATATTAACCCTTTCAGGGCGGAAGACTACAATTAAAAATATACACGACAAAATAAGAATCTGCTTTATCTTTGAAGTCGGTAAGAACATGATTTTTCTTAAAGAAAAAAAATTACTTTTTACAATTAAATTTCCTCACAAATTGTTTCCTACATTTTTCCCCAAAATTTATTTTCTTAAAAGATTTATTACATAAAAATTCTACTGGCAATGGGACTCGAACCCACATTCTAGCGGCTTGTTAATCCGCATTACCGCCGTCTGTCAAGGTACAATTTTCATGAGATCAACTGCGCCGTGAATCGGGATTACCGTTGTCTTCTCTCTATGCATTAAGCTATTAAACTTAACTAAAAGAAACATCTGACTATGACGAGGTAAATTTCCGCTGGCTTGACCAAGGCATTGGAATGAATGCGCACGCGCCAACCCTGAAAGTGTTTAACTTAAAATCCGCTGGTAGTAGAAGAGGAAGAAGTAGGCCTCTTATGCGATGGAAAGACCAAGTGGAGAAGGACCTGGCTTCACTTGACATTTCAAATTGATTTTTTGAACTCTGCCAAACAACAGAAAAAGAAACAGTTTTGCCTTAAAAACTGGTATTCGATAGCCTTCCCAAAATCTTTCTTTCAGGTCCATATGTTTTGCCCACCACTGTATGGCCTGTTGTAAACAATATATATGTACATATACATACGAATTCAACGAGCATGCACATACATATTTGTCTGCTTAATTAAATTACAAATTTTACGGTATTTAATGGAAATGGCATTTAATTAAGTAATTTTTTATTATTTTTATTTCTAATAATGAATGGGTGTGTAAATAAATATTTTTTTTCTTTTTAATTACCAATTAAATAGGACATACGAATATACACCTAACTGGTATTCGTATTCCCAATAAAAAACGTTGAGGTAAAACACAAAAAAAAATAGTCAGAAACCCAACTTTCGAACAACATTAGTGGCTTAGGAACTTATCACCCAAACAGAATGGCTTTTGCCCCCCTCCACGTTCCACAAAAAGATAAATGCAAATTTAAATCAGTCAAGAATCGCCGCTCCTCGCTCTCGTCAACGTACTTGGCACGTACAAATCCATGCCGGCTGCCATTAAAAGCGAAAATTTGCTGTCTGTCTGCCGAGTGTCACGCTTCGGGCAGACGACACAGACTGCGCCCAGCACCATTCGCTGCCTTTGCAGTGTCACAGCATAGTTTTTCACTCAAAATATATTTAACTAAATTCATTTCCCTATCTTCTTCACACTCTATTCCTGTCTCACTCTCTCCCTCGCTTATTTCAAGCCTTTTTGTTGCTGCTATTTGTTGATTTACCGCACGTGCGAATTGCAAATTTCATTGTTTGACAGCCTGAGTGGAAATTATGGTCCGTCTGTGTGTAAGGGTCGCTCTACACTGATTTGGAAAATCAAGAAGTGTGGACGAGTGCAATCACAAACAAAAACACTTCTAAATAAGCGAAATTATTTGCATTTAAATGCATATTTCAATTTGTAGTCATACATATATTTGCATACGTATGAATGAATGTTCATGTGTACCTACCCTCCAGTACTGCCCCTGCAGGGAAACCGCGGACTAGTGAATCAAATTTCTAGTTCCGTACTAGGTCTTTATCGCCAAAAAGGAACTAGTCCGATAGGAACTAGATCCCCACCAGTCCAAAATCGGCAAAAATTGGTACTTTTAAGAACCTAATTTTTTCAGTTTTTTTCACTACAAATCTATATCTAAAGTGACGAATTTAGAATTGGTTCGGAACTATAGAAAAAGGGATGCAAAACGAACTAGATCCTATTTGTCGAATTTAGAACTATTTCGGAACTATCGAATAAGGGATGCAGCGGGGGGCTTGTTTACTTTACATAGATATGTGTTCGGCGGCTTTTTCGTTCAAATACGCTTCTATTCTGTGCTTCGCAGATGCTATTTCATAGTTTGGTAATACAAAACAAAGCTTTGTGTTAACATATTAACATCTTGGGGCCGTCTGGAATCTAACCAATAACAGCGAGCACCTCTGCAAAGTAAGCTACAGCAAGGTATGTAAACG